CTTATATGGAGCTGGGTGTGTTTCCTTGAGCCTCTGGCTTCTCTTATCACTTGGACCATAGGCTTAATTACGTCTATCTTCCACATGAGGCTGCTTCAGATATTTGAAAGCAGCCCACACATTTCTCAGCTCCTCAAAGAGGGAAATGGACACGGATGTTGGAGGACTCACTGCTTTCTGTCAGACATTAAGCTGGGCTCATGCACCGAAAATAGCTCCTTTGTAAGGAAAATCAAATCCAACAAATAAATAAACCAGAAAAAAAGACAATAAAAAAGAATAAATTATTTTCCCAGGTAAGTGGTAAGGCCAAGATTTGAACTAGAGTAAATTGCAAAAGTATTTATATTAAAAATACATTTAAACTTAGCATTTATTTCTATCAAGGTAATATAGCTTCATAATTTAAAAAGCCAGGTGTTGCTATAATAATATAGTGATAGGCTAATAATAATCATCTGACTCATCTCCCGATTCAGCTAGAAGTGAATCCATTACTCTGTCCACTATCTTGCTGCCTCTGCCCACCTCTTCCTCCAAGAGCATAGCTTTGAGTCCATCACCATCCTCATTACTGTACATGTATGTATGGAGAATATATATGGGTGGGGCAAGATTTACTAACATTTCCACAATCTACCTTATTTAAAAATTTTTCTCATTGAAAACCCTGCAGAAAGTGCCAAAACGATCTTTAAAAGCATTAAGTGAGCCTTAGCTGGTTTGGCTCAGTGGATAGAGCATTAGCCTGGGGACTGAAGGGTCCCAGGTTTGATTCTGGTCAAGGACACATGCCCGGGTTGTGAGCTCGATCCCCAGTAGAGGGTATGCAGGAGGCAGCCAATCAATGATTCTCTCTCATCATTGATGTTTCTATCGCTCTCTCCCTCTCCATTCTTCTCTGAAATCAATAAAAAATATATATGTATATATATTTTTTAAAAGTTAATTAAATATTGGAATTTATCTTTAATTAATAATCATATAACCTGAACTGATTTATATGGCACTCTACACAGAAGCAGGGCAAAATAGATTGTGTATAGCCTTCCTAATGTGTGGTACTCAAATCTAAACACAACTCTCCCAGTGTGAAAATATTAAACAGCTCTGACATGGAAATAAGAGCTACATCTGATTTTCAAATACACAGGAAGGACTAAAGGAAATTAGATTTAGAATCCATAATAAAAGGAAAATTAGTTTTCTTATTTGTAACCTTTCTTCTTTACTTAAAAAAATTGAACCCATTCATTCCAATATTTAACCTCTGGGCCCTCCTTGCTATCCACCCAACAATATATTCATATTTTCAATAGGCATTCTCTCTTCTCACCAGTCTCTCTAATGGTTTTCAAATCATTAAGCCCAAGTATTCCCAGCTAATAACATTGTTTAGAAGTGTCTATTTGACCCTCTCCCCCTCACTCATATTATAAAATATACAGATATGCAAGCACTAAGTTTGATTTTGATATATTATTTCTCTATTCCTGTAGCAGTGTCAGAAATTAACAAAAAAGAACAAACAACCCAATACCAAAACAAAACCCAACCACATTTTGCTCTAAAGTCACTCTGAGAGATTTCTGGGTCTTCTACAAAGAACGTCAATGCAACTAGCCAAGCTGAAAGGGAAGTAGGGGTTCAGTGTTCTTCACAAGGTTTAGCATCAAAATAAACTGCACGCTATTTGCTTGGAACTTTATACATATGATAATAATACAAAGAAATAGTAGCCATGAGCTCTTCCCATAGGAACTCATGGTGCAGTTTGGAAAGTAAGAACACTTAAGAAGTGCTGAACAGAAGTGATAAATAACAAATTCATGCAACAGGATGATAGAGAATGCAGTGTTTCGGAAAGTTTTCATCCCAATAAAAGACCTTCCTATCTTCTGAGATGGCCCAAGGCAAAGAGGGAGTTAGACAGTGGGATTGTGGTCCCCATTTGGTCTTTAGTGAACCCCATGGGTTTGGCTAGTTTGCTTAACCTCTGTGGGCTTGAATTTCATTATTTGAAGGGAAAAAAAAACTTAAAATGAATAATAGTTGAAACATTTTTTAAATATGGCTAACACAAGCCATCAACAACATCTATATAGACGGCACACACACACACACACACACACACTCACACACATAGAGTACCCATGTACATTGTAGGGATAAACTGAGTGTCACAGGCATATTTAAGTATTTCTTGGAGGTGGGTAGGGGCCATCAAGATTTTCTTTTTCTGTGAATTTATCCTCACCACCGTACTTTCACAGGCTGGGAGATAATGAAGCTTTGCCATTTATCTGTGGAACAGTGTGGAGACCATAATTCCACTTCAACCCAGTGACGCTCAAACCCTCTAGATGAGAACTCTGGTCACTGCAGAGTTGCAAAGCCCTTCATCCAGACATGTTTATGTATAAATTCAGTTGTGAATTTTGCTGTCTCAGAAATCAGATTAAAAATGTTTAGTACTATCCTGCTGTAATTAGATTATTACATACCTGGCACTGTCTATGACCTCAACTTACAAGTGTCATTTTCTACATTGCATCAGAGATTGTACATTGCATTTCCCTGAACAAAGTCTAAATTTCACGATTGCATACTCATCTGGGACGGTGTCAACATGAGTCCAGGGGCCTGTATGTGAAGCTGGCAAGGCTCCCTTCCTTGTATCATCAACCTAGAGGGGTGCGGAGTGGCAGTGCCTCCCTCAGATCCCTGGCCTTTGGGCTCACTGTAAGCTCCAGCACCAAGAGGCTGCTGCTGGATGGCCTTTGCATATGGATGGCCTGGGCTGAGGCCACTGGCCAGTCTCAGCTGAGGAAGGACTATCTTTCCTCATCTACTCTAACCACGTGGATGAGGCACACCCACAGCCTTGTACAGATCTCTCCAAGGGAGGGACGAGAGTTCAGACCCCTCACACTGCTCTCCCGCCTGCCTTCAGATTTCCTATCTCTCTCCTGCACGAAGGAATGACCCCCACCTTTCCTGAAGGTTTCCTCTCGCCCACCAGTCTACAGCCTGGCCTCCAGCTCTGGTCCTCACATCACCATGAACTAGGGGGCTCTCTGCCCACAAAGGCACAGACAATGCTAGATTCTGTCTGAGCAAGGTTGGAAAGTTGGCACCAAGCCTCTCAGTCCACTGACTCCCTCCTCGCTACTACTGATCCATTTTTACTCTTCTTCGTAATCACTCAAACCCCTTATTTCCCTCACCTTGGTGATATTAATCAAGATATTATATTGAGAAAAAATGTAGATGCAGTTTTCTACGAAGCAATGTCATAGTTTGATAGACAATTTGATGGTTATAGATTATATGTATTTTCATATGGAACAAAACCTTACCATATAATGACCACATGATGGTGAAGTATCAAAGATCAAGTCCAGGAGAGAAGTATATTGCAGAGAAGATGTTACCTGCTTCTGACAATAATGCTTTACAATAACAGTTATAATAGCAAAGTAATAATAATGGCAATTGTCATTCATTGCTTTTCTATAATATGCCAAAATTATTTGTAAATATTTCATCTTATTCCCCAACGACCTTATGAGGCAAGTCCTCTTATTTCTCTCCTTTTGCAACAGAGGAAATCAAAGACTGGAGATGTTAATATGCTGACCCAACAAACAAATACTAGATGGGTAAACAAGATTCAAATTCTGTCAATTTGATTCTAGAGCCTAACTACTCAACCTCTGCTCCCTGCTTCCTTGTAAGTGTTATAATCAAATAGATAGATGACTGAGAGAATCTGAACTATTTTAGGTTAAATTAGTAAAATTAAACTAGATTGGCGGACAAACACTAGAGTCCCTTCCCAATTATAACAGTTATATTTCTAAAAACACCTCTGGAAGCAGAATTTCCTGTTGAGGACTTCAATACTTTATTTTTTTTTTAAATGCATTGGAGAAAATTAAAGATAGTAAGAAAACGGAGAAAGCCTTTTTAAAGTTAGCATAATTATGATATTAGAATAAAAGAACAAAACAGCCCTCCCAATTAATTAAAGCAATATTTATTCACTTTAAGTTAGTATAAGGAGTTCTCTGTTGGTAACTTCCATTTAATAGCTCCCGTAAAGTATGCTTGGGTCCACCCATGACATTAATTCAAGGAGCCTTTTCATGTGTGTCTGAAATGCTTTGCTTATTTTAAAATTTATAATAATAACAAGCCTGTGCTTGATCGGAAAGTCTTAAGATTGCTTAAAAGGTACATGGAAAGAAGACCTGTATGCTAGAATTCCGAGGAAGGGTAACTGATGTTATAGATTACTGTATCTAGATATACAACTACACTATGTGATAGTAATCTCTATATAGTAATATATACTACACAAAAGTGAAAGACATTACAGCGTTCATTATTGTGTAGAGAAGAGTCATTTCCTTATAATCACACTGATGATTTTCTCTTTGCCTCAATTATTTGGGAGTAGATATAGCTGAACCCATATCATCTGAGCAATGTTGTGGAAACACAGCTCATTTATCAGATACGGCAAGTTAAATTGAAGACTTGTGATAACTGGTGAAGGCTCATTTTCAGAGACAGCACGAAGGGGTGGAAACAGGGGTGGGATAGGGAACACAGTGAAGGTCAGCCAAAAAAATGTATGAAGAGAGGAAAGTCAGATGACAGGGCCTTGCACACAGTATGTGTGCAATACATATGAACTGAAAAAAAAAAAGAATGGTGGATGGATGGAGTGATGAATGAATGATGGACGGAATAAAATAATATTGAATATTCCCAACTTCAGAGTTTTGCCACAGAGTAAATGAGGTATTCTAGGTGACTGCTATATTGCATTCTGTTATAATCAGTGTTGTACATTTCCATCCATGAGTGAGGAAAATAACACACAATGTCCTCTAACCACTATCTGTGAAAAGCTAAGGACATATTTTTCTCTGCTCCTTTCATACTTTGTTTCATATTAATGAGATGCTTTAAAAATCATGAAAAGTACCAACCTTGAAAGCTGCCTTCCGTTTTGCTCATCTCACCTAAAGAAATGTAAAAAAAAACAGAAAAAAAAAAGAAAATTTAAGTGAAAGCCAATTAAGGCAACACAGTTAAAAGAACATTAACACACACACACACACACACACACACACACACACACCTTTATCCATTTTCCCTTGATAAAGGAGGCATTTAACTGTGGAGAGAGAAACACCCTGATGAAGCTTCGCCCACTAAACTGTTTTTCAAACATTTTGTGCTTTTTGCATTTTGGGATAGTTTGCTTTTTAAAATTTATTGGACGCACAGCCATTGTGAATGACAATGAGTAGAGGTACAGAGGGGATGTTTAATAAAAATGATGAAACTAAATTATACATAAAGAAGAATTATATAGACAGCACTTAATCAACCCAGGGATATCTCCATCATGATAAGATTTTTCACTAACTTCAGACAAGAGTGTTCTAAGAGGCTGCTATAATTTATTCTCAGGATCTGCCTACTCTTGAATGCTGATTAGAACACAAGCTTTTGCTTCTGCTCCCTCCTTGCTCCCCCAATAATCTGTTCTCCCTTATGGACCAAGTGATTATTGTCTTGTTTATAATAACTGTTCTACATTCCTTATGGAAATTGTAATTATGATGCTGAATATTCAAATGGCAAGCCACTTTTCTCAGGGAAATTGTAATTATGATAATGCAGTATTTACCCAACCAATGTTTTCTAGCCATTGTTCTCTTTGAGGAATGAGGAGGTCAGAGGAAAACACTGAAATAAAACACCCCGTTGGGATCTCAGATATGTATTCTGGAAAAGCATAATAATAGCAGCTGATATTTGCTATATGGCAGGCACAACAATCAGGATGACATGTATATGACACGCATATATATTACCTGCAGGTATATGTCAATTACTTGTTTCTCACTTCATCTATATACCACCTAAGGTAAGTCATATTGTTATTCCAATTTTATGAGGCTCAGAAAAATTGAGTAATTTGCCTAACATCACACAGCTAGTAAACAATAGAGAGTTGAGGTTTAAACCAGCTCTATGAGCTCATTGTTAAAAGCCTCTATTTAAATGCACTGGCTCCGTGCACACTTTGAGAGCTGATTCAACCACAATCTCTCTTTTCTGAAAGCAGAGTGTTTTTTTAGTCCCTAAGCAGTGTGATTTGCTGCTGGCAGAGATACTTGGCTGTGACCCTTGTTCCTAATGATGAAATTTCTACCATTACCTCTCAGAATGGAATAAAACCTCTGCTCAGAATGAAATTTGATGCAATTTGGCATTATACATTGCGATTAAAAATTTTTATGACGTCTGGTCCAAGGGCTCCACTTCTAGAATTTATGCTAGAAGTATAAGAGCATTTATTATAGCATTGTTTTAAATAGTGAAAGCCTATAGAAGTAACCAAACATCCACCAAATACTTTATGGTGCAATAGAAAGCTAAAGTTATTAAAAATCAAGTTTTCATACCGTGTCCTGAGAAAACACCCATGAGACACCATGAAGTTAAAATAGCATTCTGTGAAATAGTATGCAAAATATGAACCTGCTTTTGTTAAAATAAATATATCTGATTTTGCCTCGAAAAATATCTATAAGAACAGATATCACATTCTTAATGTAGTGGCCCTGGCTGGTCTGTCTCAATTGGTTGCACATCATCCTGAGCACAAAAGACTGGCAGTTTGATTCCTGATCAGGGCATATGCCTGGGTTGCCAATTAATCTCAGGTACGGGATGTGCAGGAGGCAGCCAATCAATGTTTTGCTATTACATTGATTTTTTTTCTTTCTTTTCCTCTCCCTTCCTCTAAAAAATAAAAATAAAAAATCAATAAAAATATTTTTAAAAAACCAACACAAATACTTACAGTAGTTATCTTTTTCTAATAGGTTAAGAAGAATACTTGACCCCATGATAAATGAATACTCAATAAGCAAAGTGTTTACAGTAAGCATGCTTTTTTTTTTTTGGTAGGCAGAAAACAAATTTTTAAATATGTGAAATAATCAAGGACAAACAAAAAAAACCCATGAATATTATACTATTTCAAAAAGAAAACAAGCAAATACAACCCAAGTCAACCACTGGGAACTATTATTAGGTGAGCCACTAGGTAGGATGGGAAGGCATCTCACCTGCCTGCCTTACTTCCACTTTGTCAGATCTCTGTGACTCAAGTAAGGATAGAGGCCCTGTCCTTTCCTCCTTAGCTCAGCAATGAAGGTTTAGGATGTTTTTCTTTTTTTTTAATATTATGAAGCCAGGATTGAGCATCTATCATGTACAAGTACTTTATTTACTTTTTAAAAATCCCATAACTCTGTAAGATAGATATTTTCATTTTGATTTTATAAATAAGAAAAATGAGCCTCAGTGGAGTAATTTATTTACACAAAGTTTCCAAGTTGGCCTGTGTTCTTTTAATTTGGCAAATTTACCAGTTTCATAAAAAAAGGAACTAAGATTTTAAAAAATCTCAGGAACTAAGAGCAAACAAAAAAGAAATTTAAAAATGCAAGAACAAAAATGTATAAATTAGTGAGTTTTTAGTAGACTACTTTTAAACCACTGGCTTATCATCTTATGCAGTTGGAGAATAGCTTACAGGATCTGTTCTTGATCACTCTCTCAGCTTCCCTATATTTCTAATACCCTCCCCAAGAAGTTCCATTTCCCCCTACATATTTTAAAGCTTTAGAATAGCCCCCTTCATTCTTTCAGTAGGATCCAGCACATTCATATAGGCCACACACACACACACACGCGCACGCACGCACACACACACACACACACACACACCATATATATATGATGAAGCTGATGAGCTGTCCACCCTGACAGGAGCAGGAACCAATGCTAAGCCTCGGTTTCAGCACTATTTTATGGGGAGATCAATCAGCCACTTGATGGACAGCTGATTGTGACACTGGACCTCTTCCACCTTAGAAGAGCCAGTGACTCATTTTGACTAGAACTGGAACAGATTCCAAATAAAGGTTTGCTTATTTGCCTGCACAGCCTTGTTCAGCATCATGATCTGAGAGCCTACAGAGTGTTTGATTCATCTGGACACAATATGCATATTATTAGTTCAAACTAATGGAAATACCTTAGAATTCAGCATAATTATGAGATCCATTCATCCCAACACATACTACATGACCCCAAAGCTGCTGGCCTGATAGATTGATGGAACAGCCTTTTAAAGGTACAGCTGAAGCCACAGCTTGGAGATGATATGCTGAAATGATGGGGTGCCAGATAAAGTATGGGGTAAACACTCTAATCAATGACCATATTCTAGTACTGTAGCCCCAATCGATAGAATACATTGATCTAGGAACCAAGGGAAGGAAGTAGGAGTGGTTGAACTTAGCATCATTCCCAGTGACCTAATTGAGGAATTTGTGCAACCTGTTCCCACAAATTTAGGCTTTGTGAATCCAGAGATCCTGGTTTTAAGAATGAGAATACTTCCAGAAGAGGACACACTAGGAGGCTCATTAGACTTTAAGATGTGTCTTATATCCAATATCTTTGGGCTCCTTGTGCCAGGACGGTGGTATCAGGGAGTGGAGTCATCATACTGGCTTGGGTAATTGAATGAACATTGGGAAGAGGTAGGGTTGCTGTCACACAATGGGGGCAGGGAAGGACTTCTATTACCCAGGAGATTCATGGGATATCTCTTAGTATTTTCCCATTTACTTTTCAAAATATATTTTTATTAATTTCAGAGAGGAAGGGAGAGGATGAGAGAGATATAGAAACATCAATGATGACAGAGAATCACTAACTGGCTGCCTCCTGCACGCCCCACTGGGGATCAAGCCCGCAACCTAGGTATGTGCCCTGACCGGGAATCGAACCATGACCTCCTGGTTCATAAGTCGATGCACAACCACTGAACAACGCTGGCTGGGCCTCCCAACTATTTTTGAAAGCAAATGGATAAATACAGAAGTCCTGGCCTAAGAAAGAAATGATGTGTAGGATTTATGGCTTATCAGTAATTGTCTGTGTCACCCCACAAGGCAGGCCACATAGATCGGCAGTGGCGCAGGCCAAGGATGAGGGAATTCTAGAATAGGCAGTAGAAGAGGCAAGGCAATAGAGAAACAATAGGTATCAGTTGAGGCATTGAGACCAGCTGCATTGGCAGGCGGCTGTATTCCCATTAATCTTCCTCTCAGATGTTTTGTCAGAAAAGGGGATCTACTAGGATCCTGAAGAAGCTGTTCACAGCTGCCCAAAATGTTGGCTTCCAATGGCTCCCAGCTGACTCATCTGGGAGTTTTCCTCCTTCCACCAAAGAGAACTGCCTTCCCCAATATTATTCACCCTCTCACAGGCAGCTCATGTCTAATGACTGAGCAGTGTAAGGATACGAAGGCCAGACCTTCTTTTTTCTATTTGGGACATCAATAACCACATTGATCCCAAGCACACTCCCAACAAACTTCCTGCATAAAAAATTCTATCTCAGAATCAGCTTCTCACAACAATTGACCTAAAGCAAGATAACAAAGTTCAGAAGTCATGAAGCTGAGAATTGAACATGGATATGAGTGACTCTGAGTCCACATCCTAGCCATCATATCTTCCTGTCTCCCATAAAGAACAGTTTGTTCTATTTTTATTTTATTTTATTTATTTTTTTATGTATTTTATGATTTTTTACAGAGAGGAAGGGAGAGAGATAGAGAGTTAGAAACATTGATGAGAGAGAAACATCGATCAGCTGCCTCCTGCACATCTCCTACTGGGGATGTGCCCACAACCAAGGTACATGCCCTTGACCGGAATCGAACCTGGGACCTTTCAGTCCACAGGCCAACGCTCTATCCACTGAGCCAAACCGGTTTCGGCCAGTTTGTTCTAATTTTAAACATACTTTTGTTTAGGCATAAGCATTCAATAATGATATGTTTAAGCCTTTAAGTCAGAAAACATTCTACAGTGTTATACAATATCTACAATTATATTGCCACTGGAACATTAGACTAATGTA